CAACGACTTTGTCGAGCCGCTTAATTTGTTCCTGTTGTAAAAATTTGGGTGTCGGTGTCATACGTTTCGCTAACGTTATGCAAAACGATCCGGGTACAAAAACGCATGACAATTATGTTTATGCAGAAACGTACCAAAGCCTTTAAACAATAGGGAACCAACAAACGCATGGTAATTTTGTTTATGCAGAAACGTACAAAAGCCATTAAACAATAGGGAACCAACAAACGCATGACAATTTTGTTTATGCAGAAACGTACCAAAGCCTTTAAACAATAGGGAACCAACAAATGCATGGTAATTTTGTTTCTGCAAAAATGTACCAAAGCCTTTAAACAATAGGTTGAATTGAATTTAGCATACAAAACGATCCGGGTACACAAATGTTCTGGTCCATATTCAGCGATGCTGTGGCTTCTCTTGTTAAGTTTACGCAAAGAAAGTACATACAACATTAATGTAAACTTTTTACATCAAGAAGTATTGTGTTCCATTTGTAACTCATAATGTGTGATAGCACCAAACATTACTACGATGAAATCGCATGATTTGAAACACATTGCGTTTAACAATGTTACACTTTTGCATAGGGTACCAAAACGCATCCGGCAATGGGAGGCGGCTAGGAGGACAGCCACTTCCGCATCATTTTATCTCGTGCAATATTCGTACCTTGAAACACTTCGTCTCTTTGGCAACAGTTAGATCGAGCAAAATTAGCAAAATTGTTAAATGATCTTGAACCAAACATGAATAGCTCTTTAAAAAAGAATGATTTAGTCATCTTCGAAACGATGTTAAATAATTTAGAGTCTCTTATTGTCTCGAAAAACCTCACTGATATTAATAGCAATATTTAGGGCGAAATTTCTCCTATGACCAGATACACTGGGAAAAGGTCTGCTTGCAATTAAGTGTTTTCGATGCTCAGCATGATTGTTAAATGTTAGTGAAATTGTGATTAACGATGATAAAATTGAACAAACTCACCCTTGCTGCACAGTTTGTCGATAGCTTTTGAAACAATCCTACTTTAATTTATCCCACTTCATTGGTATTTGAAAATACATCTAAACTGTTTTCCATTTTGAATGAAAAAAACTTCAAGTTTAAGCTGGCTTAGTTCATAGACAGACAGAATACACCCAAGTAAGGGGGCTTTCTAGAATGTTAAACTAATTTGTTAAGCAATTTGCCAGCTTCACTCCTTTTAAGGACCGTCCAGTGAGCCTCAAACGTTTACATACTCGCAGCATATAACGAGAACGGCCACGCGTTGAAGGCCTAGCCAAGCATTTTGTTGGCTGGGGTAGAAAATGTACAAGAAGGTTTGGGAATTGCATCATTGTGATCACTCACGATGTGAATTCCCCTGCCCATCCAACACGTGGTCTTACAAACAAAGGTACTGATGATCAACTTGACGATATTTCAATGGATTTGATACTCTAGGTAATTTTGCAAGTTAACTTAGTAGTAAACTGGATAACTGTACATTTAAACTATCTGCATGCTTGTAACATGCTTGTATCAGATCTCTAGGGAAATAAGTACCAACAAACGGTGTCACAGCTACTTTGTTCATTGCACCTTTTATTAGTCGTATATACCACGCACATTTACGTGGTGCTATTCTGCTTTTTTAGAGGACAAATTGTGATTTCTCGGCAGGAAAAAAGATGCAAAACGTGTCCTGTATATTTAAGAAAATTTTGGAACGGCTCAGCAAACTTTGAAAGACAATAAAAAGGCCATATCAAATTGTTTTCCATTCCAAAGAATTAAATTCCCGTCAACTCAAAAAGTATAGTTTTTATGAAGTTTCGTGCAGATGTGAAGCTATCTATGTAGGATGCAGTAGTCAGCGATTAGTCAATATAATAAAACAGCATGTTCCCCCAAGCATAAAAGTGTTCAAAAGAGAGGACAGCCACGGCCTATTTGCAAAAATCAGAGTGCCTAAATCAAATGCAATTTGGCCAAATCAGGGGTCAACATTAACTCAAAAATCCAGGATGCGCCAAATCGTATATTGACAATAAATCATTGAACAAGCAAGATTGTCTTTTTATTTTACTTGTCTTGAAAATTGTTCGCTTCAAAACAGACGATCCAGACTTATCTAGACAGAAAGAGTTTCCATCATTCTTTTTTCTATAGGATTCTTCAACTAAGTAACAAGTCGTCTCTCTTTCACGCTACTTTCGATCTGCATCTTGATAAAGGTTCCTGCTTACCTTAAGTTATTACCTAAAGTGTAAACTCTGAGGAGTGAATAGCGAAACGTACTCTAGTGTGCTATGTTTTTGCTTGCCTGTGCTACTTTCGAAGACGAATGGAGGGTTTATAGTAATTGTTTCATGTAGCCCTACTTTTAGAAGGATCTTGAGAGTATGCAAATTGAATTATTGTATTTAAGAAATGTTAGAACATGTTTTTTTCTCTTGAAAAGTGAGGCTTTGAAATCGCTCCAAATCCCCTACAATTTGTTATCCCACACCTGTCACCAAAATAAGTCGCTGTCATCCCGCGTATGCCATGGAGCAGTGAATTGTGCAAACAACAAGTAGGCTTGGAAACCGACGTTCTAGGAGTATGGTCCTAGATACAGAATAGGCATCACCCAGCAACTCTCAGCCAAAAAACACAAAATTCAGGCTAAGTTTTGTTGCAAAACGGTGATTTTATGCCATTTGTCAGTAGAAATGTTTGTATAAAGACTGCTTTAAAATCGTCCTACTCAACATTCTGTGTGTTTGGATAGCAATATTCAATAAAACCATACGTTACCTGTTTTTATGCTTCAGTTAACATTTAGGTTTAAACAAAGCCGCTTTTTGTCATCATCCAATATTTGTTGCATTTCGATTTAGCTCGGTTTCTATATTTGTTCCGTCCTTTATGTTAGAAATCATTGAAGTTCAAGAAAACTGGATTTTGTAAAATGGAAGATTTTAAAGTTCTTTCTTTAGAGGCAAAGCAACATTTCTTTTCCAATATGCTACTTTAAAACCCAACCTTTATACATGTTTATGTTTATATCAAATAGCCAAATATGCAATTATGCTGATGACACAACGCTATATGTCATCCACCAAGACATTAAGCAGGCTATTAAAACACTAGAACAAGACGCAGTTATTTTGAGAGAATGGTTTAAAAATAATTATATGAAACTGAATGGGGATAAATGCCATCTTATAAATTTTGGTAAAGGCAGCAATGACACATCTCTGAAAATAGATAAAACGATAATTAAACCAAGTAAAGAACAAAAACTTCTTGGAATAAGTATTGATAATAATTTGTCGTTCAAAGGACACGTACAATCGATATGCAAAAAGGCCAGCCAAAAGCTACATGCTGTATCCCAAATCTCCAACTACATGGATGATAGAAAAGTGAAACAGACCATGCACGTCTTCATTTTATCACAATTTAGCTACTGCCCTTTAATTTGGATGTTTTGTGATCGACAGATGAACAACAGAATAGATAGAATTCATGAAAAGTCTTTGCGTTTTGCCTATGATGACTATGAATCAAGCTTTCAAAATCTTCTTGAAAAAGACAACTCGATGTCTATCCATGATAAAAATCTGCAACTGCTTCTTACAGAAATATATAAAACATTACATAATCTCAACCCAAGTAGAAAAATTAAAGACGACAACAAAAAGAAAAAAGAAAAAGGTGGAGTAGAGAAGAATACAAGGAAGTAATGTATTTTATTTTACTACGCACTTGAAAAACGTCAAACAAACAACACTGAGGACACTTTTGTTACATGGTGCTCACGCAACAGTGAGAGTGACAACATTGAAGCATTATATTCAAATAAACTACAATCCTTGCCAAAAGTCTTGGTACACCAAGCTAAAATTTTGCATAACTTCAGTAGCATCCCCCTCTCCCCCTTGAAACAATGTTGAATAACAACAGTTTGAAAGTCGTCCAATGTCACCTAGGGTAAGTGATAGGCTTTTCAGCCAACATTGTTTTTAGGGGGAGGGGGGACATTTCTGTATCTTACAGCTGGAAACCTTTATTTCTTCAAAATCTTTCATTGGTCGCAGGGTGTTCCAAGGACTTTTGTCAAGGATTGTAGCAAATCTGAGGAGATTTATTATGCGCAGCAAAAAACTGACAGAAGTTGAAAGCGCACAAATCAATGAAACTGTTGTAAATGATACCCGAGAAAACGAGCCAGAAGAACGAGTAGAGGACGTTGAGGAAGTCGAGGACGGTGCTGAGAATGTTGTTGTGCCTAACGCTGTTGAGAATGCTCCTGAACATGGTCTGGAGAATGATGAAGAACAGAAAGGAAAGTTGAACCAAGATAAAGTTGTGAAGATGAGAACGGATATTTTGGAAGAATTATCTCTTATCCAGCATGCTATCATTAATGAGCGAGAGCCTTTATTGAAAATTCGACATACCAACAAATACAGAAATATAATTGAGGTCGGAAACGAAGCCCTAAAACAACTATGTGAGGAAACCGACCCAAACCTTACAGAACTAAACGAACTGGTATATGCAACAGGAAAAGTAATCCAAAAAAGATGTGGTGTCAAACCTAAGAGAAAGAAAAGAATTGTATGTAAGCCTAGTAAACCGAAATGGCAAGTAAAAATTGATAAAGAAATCGAGAACCATAAAAAGGAAATTTCTCTTCTAGAAGAGCTTCAGAAGGATAAAGAAATAAAATCTGGCAAGGCTAGAAAAGTTCTGCGAAAGTATAAGATAAAAAGCAAAGACCAAGTACCAGCTATTCAGGAAGAACTAAAGCAAAAACTACAAGTTAAGGCTCAGCGACTACGGAGGTACATTAAACGGAATAAATTCTATAGACAGAACAAAATCTTTGAAACAGACCCTAAAAAGTTCTACCGAGAGATCGGAAAATCAGATTTCACTCTAGATGAAATACCGTCAGAAGGACAAATATGTGAATTCTGGAACAATATCTGGGGAAAAGAGAAAAGGCATAATGAGAACTCTGAATGGCTGAACATCTTCGAAAGCAACACGAATAATATCCCCGAACAGAAATGGGAAGAAATAAAAGTGGAAGAAATACAAAAAGCTCTTAGAAAGTCTCACAAGTGGAAATCACCAGAAATCACCAAATCCCAAACTTCTGGCTTCACACTCTACACTCAGCACATTCAAAATTAGCATTAAACTTCAATAAATTAATGACAGACCCAACGACAACACCTAAATGGTTTTGCCAAGGTACTACTTATCTTCTCGCGAAAAATAATGAAACTGCAAACGCAAAAACTACCGCCCAATAACCTGCCTGTCAACAACCTACAAACTTATAACCTCTATACTCACTGAAAGAACATACGCACATCTGGAAGATCACAAAATATTTCCAATTGAACAAAAAGGCTGTCGGAAAGGATCGTATGGTTGCAAAGATCAATTGCTAATTAATAAAATGATACTAGAAAATGCCAAAACCAAACACAAACACCTGAGTACTGCTTGGATAGATTACAAAAAATCTTTTGACAGTGTTCCCCATTTCTGGATTTTACATTGTCTAGAAACTTTCAAAGTCTTCCCTGTGCTAGTTAACTTTCTTAGAACATTTATAAAGCTGTGGGAAACTAACCTTACTCTTTCCCATTCAAACAGAATTTTGAATGCTAATGGTATGCACATAAAAAGTGGAATTTTCCAGGGTGACTCTCTCTCCTCACCTCTGTTCTGCATGGGACTTGTACCGCTGTCCCAACTCCTGTATGA